GAATAATGGCGCGCGCTGTCATTCTTATTTCTTAGAATAGAGAGTTTTGAGTAGTGATTTTTGTTTTGTTACAAGTTTTTTATTGGATAACTTTTGTAATTCACTATAATTGTTTTCAATTTATACCCATTGTGTAGTAGTGTTTGTTGTGAATTGTTTGAAGGGAGACTTAAATATTATATTCTGTAAACTTTGCCTAAATAGGATCCTGTTTTGCTAGGCAGACAAGTATTTACGACCCCGTTTTTGTCTATCGGCAATATAAGAGTTTTTTATTTCTACAATATACATAGTATTTTGTAGAGTAATTCGTAGTTATTACGGTTTCTGGTCTGTAGAGGGAGCAGTATGTTCTTTTTTATAATATCTAATAATAATATACGAGCCCTAACACATAAATGTTCGGACACGTCAGTTATTTCAATAAATCACTCTCGAAAAACGTATAAACTAACTTTTATTTTTCTCACTTTAATTTGTGATTACAATGCATGTATCTATTTCTATAAACCATAAATAGTTTTGATTTTGGTAAATATATAAGCAGGTCACATAAGCAAATTCTGAAATATGCAAATAATACGTGACACATTAATGTTCGGACACGTTATAATTTTTAGATGTAAGTTAACAACTAATACGTAGTCACGTCACCTTTCGACTTAATAACTGTTTCGATTCGTTTAGGCATTGATTTGACTTATGATAGACATATNATTAAATCTCGAATTTTTGTATTTGTTGCTGTACCTCGTGCCATTTTCACCATAACTGTGCGTTATTAGCAACAGTAAATGTCAGTCAACAATGATTCTATACATTTTGTTTTCAAAGCCTACTGTTTGATTGTGTATTTTTAGACATTGCCGCGATGTCCGAACATTAATGTGTCACGTATTATTTGCATATTTCAGAATTTGCTTATGTGACCTGCTTATATATTTACCAAAATCAAAACTATTTATGGTTTATAGAAATAGATACATGCATTGTAATCACAAATTAAAGTGAGAAAAATAAAAGTTAGTTTATACGTTTTTCGAGAGTGATTTATTGAAATAACTGACGTGTTCGAACATTTATGTGTTAGGGCTCGTAATATCAGTATGTACTGTAATCGTAGACTGAAATATTGTAATGTTAATTATAAAATTAAATCGACGGAATGCATGGAGCTTCTTAACAGTTAATTTATTTTATTTTTGCCTCACTGATGGGAATTAATTTCACCAGGGATCAGGGATTCACTAGGGTTGCTGCACAGTGGTTATTCCACTTATTTACTTATTCTCCAAAAGTAATAATACTCCCCGTATTATTGTATTAATTTATTGAGTGAATTACAACTTTCTACAGGTAACTTAAAATTATAGTTTTACACTTTTATACATGGTTAATCAAATGACAAAATGAAATGGGAGGTGTTTATGGCACCTTACAAATGATCCGTGAATACAATAAAAATTGATCCCAAAAGTAAACTTAAAAATTATCGGAATATCGTGTGGTTTGATCGTTCGATCGGTAGCTTTGGTAAAGATTATATACATCACATAAGCATCTTTTCGATTCAATATATACAAATAAATAAATAAACAATGCTAATATAAGCGGTAAATTAATTTCCGTGTGGGGGTAGACAAGTAAACTGTTGTAAATTTACAATGAAAAGGCCACCATTACAAATATCTTCATAAATATTATACAATATACTCTCACGTATTCATTTAATACTTATTTAATTATCATTTTACTACGAAATAATTAGGGCACATAGAGCAAATTAGCTTAAGAACAAGCTTCGAGATTTAAAAAAAATTTATCACATTGGCAATATTCCACGAGCACACCCGACTAAATTTCCTCAAAGTTACTTGTTAGAAGAGGGGATAGGTTAGGGGGACGATAAATCGTTAACGAGAGGCAGTCGAGCTCGGGTTGGATCCTTGGGGTATTCCAAAAAATACTCGGCCCACGCCAGAAGCTCTGGTGTGCAATAATTTCAAACGCTATGGAGGGAAATGAAAACTGCAGGGCATCAAACCAAAATCACTTTCACAAAATTCTGGCAAAATCACAAATTTTAATTCCTTGCCGTTTCGGTGTTTTATCAGGAAATAAAAGTTTTTATTGATACTGCTGCAAACCCTTAAAAAAAAATTATTATCAATAACAGACAAATATAACAATGAAAATTATAGATTTACTGCATGTTTTTTGTCAAAACTACAATTTTAAACGTTCAGAAGATAACAGCCACACAAACAAAGAAAAGTTGTCTGTACTTTTCATGCGACATTTGTTATCTGTAGTATTTTTGCCTCCTGATCACGAATTTGGTGTTAGAATTGAGCTAGTGACCCAGAAAACCCCCAGATACCAAATTTAGCCCGAATCTGTTATTGTTTGAAAATTCGTGATATCTGTCATTTATTGACCCGTTTTTTTGAGGTTAGAAAAAGAACCTAACCGCGGATTCACGTTGGGCGGGGTCTTAACTATATAAATGAACATTTGAATATAGAAAAAAAATTGTTTGTAATTTTCCTAGCACGTTTTCATGAATTTTTGCTATTTTTGACCAGTTTTTTGAGGTTAGGAAATTCCTGTGGTGCGATAGCTAAATTCTGATACCAGATTCGTGATCAGGAGGCAAAAATACTACGAACATATGTCGCATGAAAAGCACAGCCTACTTTTTTTTTAATTGTAATTTTGACAAAAGACGCATCAAATTTTGGTGAGATATAATTTTAATTGCGATATTTATTTGTGATTCTTAAATATTTTTTTAGGGTATTGCGACAGTATCAATCAAAACTTTATTATTTACAATTATACAACTTTTTTAGAAACATGTTTGTATGCACTTTAGAGCCATGATGATGATGTAAAACAACACTGATACGTTAGCAAAGTATTAAAGTTTGGACTTTCTACGACATTGACGAATTTTTAAGGTTTCATGCCCTTTTCCTGAAAACCGAAACCTGCTGTGCTCATTTCCACCGTCGAGCTTAGGCATCGCCGCCCAAGCCGTAGGTGGAAATCATGCAGAGACCTGCCTTTGCACCGTAAAAACCTGACGGCGCCACCTACACTGTTATCGAGCAGGGACAGTGCATGGGAAGTGTTTTGTTAAGAAGTGGTCAAAGTGGCACCAAAAATTAAAACGGACGTTATACTGTTACGTTACAGGGAACTGAAAGTGCGGAATGGTAATGTTAATAAATGTTTGTCCGTTTCCTTACGGTGCAAAAGCAAATTTCTGCTGGTAATTCGAGTGTAAGAGGAACCCAACCACCGAAGTAGAGAGAAGAGAAGACAGACAGAGAAGTTAGTTAAGTCCGAGGGAAAATTTAGTCGATTTGGCGTCTCGGGGAGATTAATAGTAAAAGCAATATTTTGATTGAGGATAATTTTCATCAAACGCCCTACCACTTTTTTTTAAGTATTAAGTACTAGTACACTATCACTGAATTTTAAACGAAATTAATACTTTAGAAAAATGAAGTCGAAATGCTTACAACAGCAATAAGCGGTAATAATATCGGTAATACTTACTATTAACAATGTTACTGTATTACTAGCATAGTTCTTTTAAAAATATGCCTTATCTAAGTTTATTACATCACAAGCCCAGTCTGTATAAAAATTTACAACTCGAGTAGGTTTTTTTTCAATATTTACAGTCAGAATCGACCAGCGTCGGCTATGACGGCTGACTTCGGCACGAGACCTTTCTGAGTGCCCCTGCAGCACAGGAGCCACTTGTCGTCCACCTCCAACACCACCCTTAGTCTCTCGCCCTCGTTGTACGACAGGTGACCGCTCTCGGAGGGCAGCCTGTGGTTTAACGTCCTCACAACCCTGAAACGTTACTACCTGTATACCAATGAACGCGGGAGCGCAAATGGCTCCATCTGTCGTGGTGACTCCCAACTGTGCCATTGAAATGGCTGCAGTAGGAAGCGACCTGCTATATTGCAGGTTCTTGTTGCACGACTGCCACCCACAGAGGCCGAAGACAATGTTTTAATTGCCAGTATTGCAAGAAACAATTACTCCGAGGGCTATATGCCCCTATCGGAATTGAATTACACAGATGAGTACGACAGATGGAGCCATTTGCATTTCCGCGTACAATGTATTTCCTTCTTGTGAGAATACAATGCAAAACAGCTGAATCATATAATTCAATGCCGGTATGGGCATATAGCTCTCGGAGTAGTTGTTTCTCGTAACACTGACAACTCAAACATTGTGTTACGCCCTCTGTGGGTGGCAGTCGTGCAACCAAGTACCTGCAATATAGCAGGTCGCTTCCTACTGTAGCCATTTGAATGGCACAGTTGGGAGTCAGCATGACAGATGGAGCCATTTGTGCTCCCACGTACAATGTATTTCCTTCTCATGACGATATGACGCAAAATAGCTGGATCGTTTGTCGGTTGTCTCACCTATGACACACTGATGAGGACTAATAAGTCCGAAACCGGTCTCTGCCTGGTGGGTTAAACTGACAAACGATCCTAGCTGTTGCACTAGGTGTTGTGAGTATAATTCAATGCCGGTAGGGGCATATAGCCTTTGGAGTAGTTGTTTCTCGCAACACTGGCAATAAAATACCTGTATACCAAGTTTGTCCTCTTAACGGGACCCTTTGAAATCATTTCGATCGGTAAATAAAACGACTTACTTTGGCGTGGTGGAATGACTGAGCGGTCTCCTGTTCAGCGAGCTGGAGGCTGCCCTTCTGGGTGGAGTGATTTTGGAAGTCTTCCCATTCTGTGGTGCCGGCTTGTACGGTAAACTGCTAGGCCTCTGTATGTGCCGCACTGCGTCTTGGGGGTGTTCCAGCTGGTCAACTCTACTCGTTCTGAAAAGGGAATACGGAAAGTTTTAGAACTGTAGCTGGAGATGGGCACTCGGAAAGTTTCCGTTTGGGAATATTTCGGGAAAAAATAAAAACCTTAAATAGTCAATAATCGCTACGGAAACTTACCTTGCACACACTCCCGCCTTCTTCAACGGAGAACTCTTAACGCCATTCAAACCCTTATTGACGGCAGTTTTACTGCCAGAAGGAGGAGTTGTAACTCTCTTCACAGATTTTAAGCCACCTTTAGTTGTGGGAGAGACCGCAACGGGTATTCCCGACGGCCTAACGGGCGAAATAACAGGCCGGGGTATCTTCGATTTGCCAGCCGCATGCGTGGGCGAAGACGGTGGTGACTCGGTCGAATTCTGCCCGCTGAGCATCTCCCATCTCTGTTGCAACTTCTTGAATCTCCGTCCGTTCAGCGGCTTCTCGTCCGAGTAGTTCGAATCGAGGGATTCCGGCTCGCAATCTTCCTTCAGAGAGGGGACATTCTCATTCGAGTTGCTCTCGTCGCTCTTGTCTACTGGCGGAGGAACGGGGTTTTCCAGGCTGTCGGTGTATTCCTCCTCCTCCTTCGCCAGCCTGTCGTAGGCCTGGTAGAGCTTGGAGTTGAGCGCGATGCCGGACCATCTCTTCCTTGTTACGTCGTCCACGTCTCCACACAGCCTGAAGTTGGGCTTGGAGAGGCTGCCTTCCACGCAGGAACGGGGGCGTTCTTTCTCGCAGCGGACCTTCGTCTTCGACGGGGAGGTGCTCATTGGGTCTGGGTGCGTCCTGATGTGACAGGCGGACGAGTTACGAACCGTGGTGGCCGTGGACGTGTCTTCGGATTCGGAATTGGATCGATTGCTGTTTGAAGAGAGACCCAGTTTCGGAGAGTTGAATTGCTTGAAGTTCGGAGAAGGACAATGCTAAAAAAAATTAAGGATGAAGGTACTTTACTGTAACGGTAGTCAGTCAAGTTACCAAATGTCTAGATATGCAATAGAATAATTTCATAAAAGTCAAATGTTCTCATAAACAAAAAAAAACAAAAAATGGTCAGAATTAAAAAATCGTCGTTTATCTTTCAAATGAATCAAGGTATCAAGATGCGATTTTTATCATTCAAGTTTTCTCGAAAATTGAAGCCATATCTTTTTGGAAAGCAGGAAAAGATCCCCAAAAACGTTGAATTTGGTTCACCCTATACGAACATTTGAACTATTTTTAGAATTAATTGAATGAAATGTTTAACTAATCGTAGATTTAAAGTAAAGTAAAAATAAAATACAATAAAAAAACCTACAACAAAAAAAATTACGTTTCATACCTTGTGAGTGGGGCTGAGGGGCTGGTGATACGAATCCATTCTCTTAAAGCTGAGATGCAACTGTTTATACTCAAAGAGCAGGTCAAGCTGAAACGGAAGGAAAGCGAGGGGTTGCAATGCGGCAATCATGGCGTCCAACAGAGACCTAACGTTGGCGCCCCCCGTGTGCGACATAACCAGAAGCGAATCGCCGGTGTAGTGCTTCCGCAACACGCTCTCCCTAGTCCTGAGGTAACTCGCCCACGCGTCCAATGATCTAACGTTCAGCAATCCAAAGACGAAGGCGTTGAACTTCACTAGACCTTCCGTTATGACGTCCTCGCTGTTTATTCTCATGACGAGGTCGTTCAGGGCTTTGGTGAGGGGACCCTGTTGGGCAGAGGCCTCCACGACTTGCCACACCGAGTTATTGATGGCGCCGAAACTCGTCTCCAGGCACGGCTTCAACCCGTCGCTTAAGACAGCGTAAAGAGCGGGACATAGAGTGCCAAGGGCTAGTTTAGCACACGTGGGATTTAAGCTGGCATCGCCCAAAGCGTTCAATTCCATTTGGTTGGAGGCGGGGGAGAAATGGTGCATGAGCTGCTCGACCGCGTCCGTGACTGCGCTAACGAGGGACTTTTTCTGTACCAGATTGTAGTCTGATGGTGTTTTGCTGTGGTGGATCGGGGTGGTCTGAGGGCTGCAGTAGTTGGGGCTGTTCTCGTTCTCCTCGCAAATAGGCATGTCGACCAAGTTTTTAATCTGGGAGAAAAGCTACAGTAAATACTTGGAGTGCTTATATTTTAATTGCGCGACATTAACTTTGCAATGTTCTCTACTTTGGATGCTTAAGAAATAAAAAAAAGGGAAGTGGTTTTTCAACTCAAATTCAGCTTTATGGAGATTAAATTCACTTTGGCAAATAATTAAACATTTCATAAATCAAATTCATTATTTTGATAACAAAGTATGGGGCAAAAGTGGCAAAACTTCAAATAAAACTTACAAAAGAAAAGAATTAATTTAAGGGCACCTGACATGACACTTTGAAAAGTGTTGCAAATATATGCGTGAATTATTTTTAGATATATTCAGATTTTTTCATATTTTTCAAAATTAAAAAATATACATACTAAAAAAAAAAAATTTTTCTGAAAAAAAAAACGTGTCTATTCGAATTTGCACAAATACACTCTCAGCAAGTTGTATTGTGCTATGCCAATCATATAAGATTACTGCGAATTCTATTTATTAGAAAAAATGAGACAACATACTTTGACTATTGGCGAGCATATTTTTTGCTTCATTCTACACCTTGAAAATTGGATATAAAACTATAACGGTTTCAAAAAGCAATCCTAAGTAAAATATGGAAAAAGTAAGATCGTTCTATCTTGGCTATTTACGAGGGGAGACCCAAAAATCGACCCGGAATCGATATGCTGTGCATCGTGTACTTGTAGTACCAGGTTGTGCCGCCAGAGTTTTGTTTTTTACTTGGCAAGAACGCAACGGAAACTTTGTGATGATGCAAACAGCTTACAAAGAACATGCTCTTAGTAAAAATCAAGTGTACGAATGGTTTTTTCGTTTTAAAAAGGGAGAAATGGTTATTAAAGATCAGCCCCATTATCTGATTAATGAAGATCGACGCAGGACAATCGACCAACTCGAGGAATTATCCGGGTTGTCCTGGAGCTCAATTCAGCACATTTTGAACGTTGATTTGGGGATGCAAAGAATGGCCGCAAAGTTCATGCCGAGACTTCTCACCGGATATCAAAGGGATCGTCACGTTCAAGCCTGTCATGAAATGAAGGACTCATTCAAAGACGATCTAAATTTTTTCAACAAAATCGTCACAGGCGACGAGTCATGGTGCCAACAGTCAAGTCGATAGAAGTCAACTGGCTCTACTCATCCAAAAAAAAGCTCGTCAGGTGAAATCGAATGTGAAGACGATGTTGATCTGTTTTTTTGACATTAAAGGGATCATACACTCAGAATTTATCCCTCAAAACCAGACAGTAAATCAACAATTCTATTTGGAGGTTACGAAAAGGCTGCGCAGAAGTTTGGCGCGAAAACGTCCGGCTTTGTAGAATTCCAGTAAGTGTTCCTGCATCACGACAACTCTCCCGGCCGTGTGTTCGCAAGTTTTTGGCCTCAATGAAGATGACTATCTTGACCCACGCACGCTATTCGCCAGATTTAGCACACTCGGACTTCTTCCTGTTCCCGGGGATGAAAAGGGACTTGAAAGGGAAGCGTTTTGCCGATGTCGAACACATAAAACGCAATGTCATGAAGGTGCTAGCAGGTATAGTCTTTCCGAAGTCAGCTGAACATAGAAACAAACGTCTGGTAATAAAATTTAATGAGTTTCATAGGCGTCCCTAAAAAAATTTTCTGCTTAAGGTAAAAAATTATAATAATTTGTATATAATGTGTAGAAAATTTCTATTATATGTTCATTTGGCCAACAACATATTTTAATTATTTAGGTATGTCCTCAATATTGGTGGTAAATTTCATTTTGTCCGTTTCAAAAGGCCTCCAAAATGCCATGTTGTGATAATATTAGTAAACAAAATATCCCTTATTTCTCCATTTTGCAGTTGTAATATGAATGATTGATAGGTGCCTATAATAAATTTAAAAATTCCGCATTGCTACACTGCACTGCTGGGCAATTTATCAACCACTTGTCATCTGCCGTGATTTATTGCCCAGTAGCCCAATTCAACTGTGATCGTTTTCCTTTGCCTGCACTCGCATTCTTCAACTGAGCGTATACATTTCTATCGCCTCCACGTTTAGTTCGACCAGACCTATATATGGGCATGGCTAAATAAATATGGGAACAAGTGGGACGAATTTAAAAGGTGCTTCCAACACAGGTATGAACATTTGGACAAGTGCATTAATGCTAATGGAGAGTACTTTGAAGGAGATTAAGGTTGTATTTTAAAATCAACAAAGTAAATACTTTCTAAAGAAATTCCGGTTATTTTTGGGTCCCCTCTCGTAAGTGTTTTGTTGGTCTTTGTTAAGGCTGATGATAGACCAAGAAATATATAAAAACAATTACATTGTCTTTTTTATAAAAATAATATATACACATTTAATTTTTAATTTTAATTTTTTTTTAGAAGGCAATTCACTTATCTAAATTTCGCAATTTCTGTGTCCTCTCTATAAATTTACGTAAGCAAAGAACATTTATGAGAAATACTATAGAATTTTAGATATTGTCAAGTACTACTTTGTGGCTCACCTGGTAGTTTTTTTGATGCAGGAACGCGGAAACGTTGGGTGAATTATTCGGCGGAACGGACTGCTTCGCTTCCAGCAGCTTCGGCGTCACGTTGATCCTCTCCGCGAAGCTGACGCACTTCTTTCCCCCAAAGTGCTCAGCGCCCTCCTGGTTGATCTTGAGCGACAGGAACTTGCCGACGTACGACCTCAACTGTATCAGGCTCTCCTCCGTGTGCTCCTCGTCCGAGGCCGAGATCCCGCTCAACTTCAGGAATTCCTCCAACTGCACCAATTCATCTGTACTTATATTAGAAAGGAGATTCCGATGCGTGGGGTACTCCGGGTGCTCATCCAAGCTGCTGCTGGAAGTGCCCGCGTCCACTCCCTCGTCCTCCGTCTCCGATAGTTTCTTGTGCCTCTGGAGGTAGTAGGGCTCGGGGAACGACTTCCTCTTGTACCCGGGATCCTCAACGATAAGTTCCTCCTCGCTTGTCTCGTACATGCTGTAACGCTTACTCGGGTCTGCTTTTTCTGCACCTCGTCTGAGGATGCCCCTTGGCAATGGGGGTCTGGGTGGCACTGTCTCGCCCTGCCCCAGGCTGACGCAGCGTAACGGCAGAGGAGGGGCGGTGGTGGTGATGCTGTGCTGCCTATCGCTGGTCATGAGGCTGGCCTCGGAGCTGGTGACGCTGTCATAACGGTAGACGAAGAGCGGGTTCAGATTTGTGGTGGTCGCTGGACTGTTCTGAGAGTCAGTTAGCAAGCTGGAAGATCCCCGGTAGCCGGAACTTGGCTGGGTGGCCGTACTCGAGCTTGACGATACGTTCGTCTGGTTGATCTCGCAACTGAGCGGACGTCGTTTCGTGAATTTATTCTGCATGAATGATGGTTTTTCTTTAGTGTTCGTCTTGATATGTTCCGATATCTCTGGCACTTCTGCTAGAATCTGGCGGTACTCCTGCGGTAAGAGGAAGTTGAGGGAGTCCCAATCCTTAACGTGCCCGAACCCCCTACGTTTTAACGTTTCCAGGTCGTTGCAACTAAACGGTCGCTTTTTCGTCGAAGTAACGTTTGGCGCCTTCTGGGGTAGTAAAAGTAGCTTGGACAGTTCGTCTTTCTCGTTCAAGAAGTCTAGGTCGGGGAGGACGTAATTCGGATACAAGACATAGACAGGTTTCTGAACTTCCCCTTCCTGCTTTAATTTATTTAGAAATGATTGCTCGATGACTTTTATGGTAGGTTTGGAAAATTCCATGCTCGTTTTATGAGCATTCTTTAAGCTGGCGATTTCGGAAAAATGCGACGTTTGGATGCTCCTGTTTATAAGCTCGCTTTTCGATTTCAAACATTTCTGCTGACAAGACACTTTATTGCCATTTTCTTGTTCCGAGGTTTTATCACCGCAATCCTTTGGTACCACACTTTCTTTCTCAAAACTGTCCCCGACGGAATCTATCTTGGAAATGCTCTCGGAGAGCTGCTCCACCGACTCGCTTCTAGAAATGTCGTCTTCGGGTTCTTCTATGATCAAATCATACGTCCTGGCACTGCTCTCGTTCGTCTTAGCTTCAGCACTTGTCTCGAGGTTTTTTAGGTGTTCTGAAGATTTCCCGTCGGAATTTTGGCTTTCGCCAGACTGACTTCCTGGCCAATTTTCCGAAGAAGACAATTGGTCCATCGTCGTAGACATTCCTTAAAAAAAAAATTGTATACAAAAGCTGCATTTCAAATAATTTTGTATTTGTCTACCTTCAGTGCTCATGCTTTTCTGTTTCATGAATAATTTAACAAGGCTGAAGTTGGGCTGTTGTTTGTTGTTTGCGCTGTCGCTGCTGCTTGCGTCTATCGACGCAGCCAAATCGGAAAAGTTTCCCCCAGATCCACTGTGCTGCACTTGATGCTGGATGTCAAACACTTTAACAGGTCGCCTTTTTATAGTGCAGGTATCAGTCTAAAAAGAAGTTATGAAATAGATAAAAAGTTTTTCATCAGTTATTAACTATCAAATATTCAAAATGAACAACTTTTTCCTACATTTCCATACTTCCATTCAAATCATTATAAAGTTGTCAATAAATTTTTTATTCTTTCATAAATATGACTAAAGATAACATTTTGTGCGGAGTTACTATAAAATATTTCAAATAATAGACAAAGTTATGCGCAATATAAATTCTAGTGGATGTAACCTGAATAAAAACAGTTTAGAAATCTGCAATAAGCATAACAAAAGACCAATTTCAAAGATCAAAGTCGCCAATATTTAAATGACTAAATGATTAGCCATTACTGTTTTCTCATAATTCAAAAAGCAGTTTAACAATGAAGACACATAAACACATCGTACCAATACTAAACACTCAAATAAGTAACTTTAAGTAAGGTTATTGACTTACAACTGCACTTATACAAGTCAAGAAATTGCCTCTCATATTGCAAATACCTTCTCATAAACCAATAAACTGAAAAGTAAACCAATATGAAGCTGTCAAACGCCCTGTTGTCATATCACATCAGATGAATTGAAATTATGTAGTTCACCTAAGCTAGGCGAATGACAGAAGTCAAGTCGACACTCAGATTCACAAACTAAACCCAGTGCTTTAAAAAAGAATTCTTTTTATAAAAAATTTGAAAAAACAACTACGTATTTGATTTAAAAATAATAATTTCAATGCCTAAAAAACTAACTCCCCAATTAAAGTTACCCCTCGTATGTATTAATAATTGTTTTAATTTAATTTTTCCATAAAAGTAAATTCAAAGAAATAAATAGTTAAACATAGTTTTGCTCACCGAACTATTGCTTTGGCTCTTGATGTACGTGCTGGTAGCCATCAGGCTCTTCAACCTCTGCTTATACAAGTTGGGCATACTTTGGCTCTTAAACGTAACCTCGGTCAATCCCAAGTGATTTGCGTCGTCTCCTGAGTTGTTATTGTTTCCTGACGGCCGTACTCTCAGCTGATCCTCGCTGCTGCGCTTCTTCAGCTTACTCCAAGTAGTGAAACTACTAGAATCTGATTGAGTCATTGAGTTATCCAGAATTTTCGTATTTTTCACTTGAGGCTTCAAGTTTCCAGGCCAATGAGTACTGCCAGTGTCATGAGAATTAGAACTCTTATCTGGAAATTTAAAAGGTCATATTTGTTTAGCGATAAGGCAGAAGGAAGAATCTCAAACAATATCAATGTCTAACTGAGAAAATGGCTACTTCCTACATGTAATCTCTGTAACATTTAAATTTCTTTATTTACATGAAAACAATCTGATAAGCAATTCAAGAAATTATATATACATTCTGTAACAAGTTCTCATTTGATTAAACCTTAATCAAAATAAAAAATAAATGCAGTTTACAAAAATAGGAAACTTATTTGACTGGTTTAATTTTTCAACAAAATATACACCTTGGATACCAAATAGAGTTCGTTTTGAATAACGAGACTACTTACCCGATTCATGATAATCGCTGTCTTCCGAGTACATTGTTACAGATCCTTCAAATGCTATTGTATAATTATCCTTATTAGCCTGGCATGTTATCATCATATCGTGAAAATCACAGTCCAAAGAGTCCACACTAAAGTTGACCGATACAGGTGTTTCTTTCACGGGGCTGAAGAGCAGTTCTGATTTGCAGATAGACATAGAATTTGAGTTAGCTGAACAATCTTCTCCTTGAGAACTGCTATGTGGGCTTATGGAGCTGTCCAGGTCGAATTTAGCCATCATAGAACCAGAAACACTTGCGTAGCATTCTCCCTGCCTATTATTCTGGAAAATAAATAATAATCATATTCACTCAGGATAATCACTAGGTAACAACAAATTGAATTTATGTGAAAATTAACTATCAAGTGTAATATACCTAACATGAATTTTATCTGTTAGTTCTGTATTCTGTAATAATGGGTGAACATCCACCACAAAAAGTATGTAACACTGTTTCTTCATATCTTTCAAATTATTTAAAAATAATAGAATTTAACATATTTTTCATTTAGTTTCAATATAAAACACTTAAAAATTATTATTAACGATCAAATTCCACTGTTGTTTGAGGTTACAATTATTTTAAAAATCGACGCGTTTTTATTTTTATGTGACTCATCCACTGGTCTCTATTCTGAATATGGACTGAAGATTGGATTCTAACTTCTACTTGAAACAGGTTGCATTAAGTCCACGGACCACCCGTCTAAATACGTTCATTGGCTGTCCGACTGTACCACGTGATCGATCAACTGTTTAGCCGATTGGTTAAATTTTGAATTATGACTAGTCGTCCAATTAACGTAGCCAATTTTTTTATGCCCAGGCAGTATTTGATTCTGCGCATATAATTAGGCATTTAAACTGTAGAGAACGCATAAGCAGTACACGGGAATGATATTTGCAATTTATGCAAAAATCTGCTATTGGGCATACACAAAATATGCTTGTGTACGAAATTTAATCTCAACAATTTCGCCCTTAAACACGAATTATTTAAAAGAGATATAACATTTTTCAAGCAGGCTCATACCACTCATTATCCATTTAGTTATTTAGAGATCACTGCATCAGTGGATAAGCAGAAGTATGTATATGTAGAAACTGCATTTACCTATCAAATATCAAATAATCTTTTTTATGCAGATATCACCAGTGTTACTTATTGTTTTATTTGTACTTAATAAAATGTTATATAAACTACAAACTAACTAAAACACTTCACTACTTCCAATTTTAAAAATAAACAAATGTAGGTATGTATTTATATCTTAATAATATACTGATAAGGCAGTATACAATAAAATGAATAAACAATAACAGAATTAAATGCAGGTAGTCGCGTCTATTAAATTTGTAAAAGTATTTATTTTCTTGCTTGTTTTTCAAAAGATGCCAGGTAGCATTAATCTTGCAAAAACAAATAAAGTAATAACTTGTAAATATTTACAACTACAATTAGAGGCAGATATTAATAATAGTAATTGAAAATGAAAGAGAAACCTATTTTTACCTCTTGACTTAGATGGTCAGTACACATCGGCGGTAAATTCGTCAATAAAGCATGGATGTCTTCAGTCCTAAAGCTTTCCATATCGGCTTCTGCTAGGTTGGCGTCCATATTTTTTGAAAAAGTGTCGTAGTAATTAAGGTCCCCCGCTTCATATGACTCGGGAAGGGAGAGGATGCTGGTATGGTGGTTTGTTCCCCCATCCCGATACCTAAAAAAAAACATATTTACGGATGCGTCCTTTTTTTTAAGTAAATCAGTTACAACTATTTATTTAAGCGCGACTGAATAATGAATAACCGAATTCTATTTATTTAAATTCAGCTTTCAGGCAGTTATTTAATTGCTTTTTCTGAAATTGTAGATAGGTAGGTATACATAAAAATACAATATTTTAATGGGATATTTTCCAGCTTGTTAACTAAGTACATCATAAAATGAAAATAAGTTAAAAAATATGAAATAGGACGAAATTCATACACATACTGGAAAAAAAAATTAAACTTTTTACGAATTGCGTTGATTTCTGACAACTCGGAACTAATAGATAATTAGTGAGGTTATAATCTGCCATAATATACTTCAAATATGAAAATAAAATAAAGAATTATTTAAAAAACCATTGAAACAATAACCCAATTTTCAAAATTAGTTAAAACGACACGTAAAAATAATGGAAAATGAAACAAAGAATACAAATTTCGTTGATTTGTGACAGAACCGACAGGTAATTAGGGGGGTTATTTAGGTATGTCATACCAAGTAATTCAAATTAAATTCAAAGAATTATTCCAAAAACTATCGAGTTTATTCTATTTCCTGCACTTAACGACAATAAATAAAACTTATAAATTCTTTAAAATAAACGTAAAAATGGAACTTAGAGTGTAATATACTTGATATAATTTATGACAACAAAGATAAAATTTGGTAAAAGGTCCGTAGATTTTTTCTGTAATACCCTTGTAACTAATACTTCGTTTTTATGTGAATAAAACTTTGTCGTTTTTGCGATTTCGCAAAAATATATTCGCATTTGTTTTAACATCAACCATCAACCAGCCTTTACTAATGTTTTATAAACAAAAAATCGCCTAATTTGTGACAAATCGCCCAATCTGGCCTTCCTTCAATTATTCTTTTCAATTATCGATATAGCGACCCCTAGCGTAGGGCGCGGAATAGTTGGATTTAAAGAATCTTACCAAAAAAATTGGTTCAAAAATCGCCAACAGTTATTAAATTTTCCACTTAAAATTTCAAATTAATAAAAGAAATTAAAGGAAATTTTAATGAATTTTTTAGTAATTTTGGAATTTTTTTGCAGTAGTGTAGCAAAAAAACTATATTTTTGTGTGAAAATTATCATTTTCTTTGCAGTTGAAGGAAACTATCCCAATTCCCTCTTAGTTCTAAGACTTACCCATAATCTAGAAACCACTGGTAGTCGGAGTTGTCCTGGATGAAGTCGATATCCTGGGAAGACGTATTGCTGACGTAACTGGCTGAACCGTGGTGGTTGCTGTTACAGTCCGAATCCGGACTGCTCCGGAGAATACCCACCTCGGTCATCCCCTTACCTGTAACAAAACGAGAATGGTATTTTCTTATTAGTTTGATTCATAATAATAAAATAAGCTGACTTCAGTCTCAGTTTATTGGTATAATAACCCTATTTACCTGAGATCTCAGTTAATCTCTCTTAAACGACCAATCAGCATTTAGGATAGCCGACATTTCAGGTAAACAAAACACGACTAATTGCTATCCGTTATGATATGGGCTTCGTATTGGTAGCAAAGTTTATTATCAAGGCAGAATAACCGATATTTGATATTTGAATTAATCTACATTCGGCATTCGGCAACATATGTAGTTTATTTTACACTGGGCATTTGGATATACATTTTGGTTTAATTAAAAAATTTATGTTATTTATGTTACTGTACGCTCCTAAAGTATGGAATAAATTCAGTAAAAACGAAACAAATTTTTTTTGGGAAGAAACCTCGAACAGGTCGATTTTTAATTTAAAAAATACATATTTTAGCATAAAAGACTATTTTCAACCTTCATTTGTTTTCGAGTAATGACGTCATCGACATTTTTTTTAAATAGCAACCCCCTATTTTTTTTCATGATTCTGAAAGGTCGTTTCATTGTCGATCCGACAGTATTAAAATGTTGCCATCTTACATAGGAAAGTTTTCGAGTAAATGAGGATTGAATGTTAGAAAACGTAAATTTTATTCATTAAAAAAATAACAATTCCTATGTCAAGCAAATACAATTCATTTAGTTTTCTACCTAAATTAAGTGTTCGAATTGCCATGCAACGACTTCTTGACGATACGCAAGTCTGTGTAGAAATTCTTCTTGCACATTATGAATTATTTCTGGGGTAACTCTGTGTATTTCATCTATAATACAATTTTGGAGTTCTTCTAAATTATGTGGTCTATTAACGTACACTTTGGACTTTAAGTAGCCCCATAAGAAATAGTCCAGTAAAGTAATTTAGGTAGAAAACTTAATGAATTGTATTTGCTTGACATAGGAATTGTTATTTTTTTAATGAATAAAATTTACGTTTTCTAACATTCATTCGTCATTTACTCGAAAACTTTCCTATGTAAGATGGCAACATTTTAATACTGTCGGATCGACAATGAAACGATCTTTCAGAACCAAGAAAAAAAAATAGGGGGTTCCTATTTAAAAAAATGTCGATGACGTCATTACTCGGAAACAAATGACGGTTGAAAATCGCCTTTTATGCTAAAATATGTATTTTTTAAATTAAAATCGACCTGTTCGAGGATTTTTCCCAAAAACGTTTTTACTGAATTTATTCCATACTTTAGGCGCGTACCGTAGGTATATTTATTATGGAAAGTAAAATATGGAATGAAGGGTGTCAATTCAAGTCATAAAAAGACATAACTAAAATAATAACCTGATTGCTAGCACCTATTTATGGGTTTAATTTTGACAATTTCAGAGGGTGAACATTTTTTTGTAAAACATTAGCTGCTCTTTGTATTGCAAAAATTCAACCATTTTGGAGGACTCAATCTCTCTTTTTTTGTTTTGACCAGGAGGAATCAGCCTAAAAGTTTGTCGCAACAGTGCTATTACACTCTGTGTACTGGAGTTCGCAGGACTGATTGCGTCGAAAAAATCGAGTTGACTGAACGACTAAAAATATTATATAAAGTCACTAAGCAAGCACTGGAAAATTAACTGATAAAATACGTGATTAAAGCTGTCTGCCGGCCCACACAAATAACCATTACCCGAGTCAATTTAGTGTAAATTAGTTCTTCCTCATTGCAAAAAAGCAACTAATTGCAGTTGGTTGTTAAAGACTGCCCTCGATAAAAGTTTGTTGTTTCTGACCACTCCTCGATTCTTATCTACCAGCAAGAACATAAAATGCGTGTTTACAGGAGGAGGTAGCGTTTATACATTGCAAATTTTATAGATTTAAATTAAATACATGGCTATATGAGTTTGGCAATAAACGAAATTGCTTACCTACATTAATACGTTTTATGTTTTTACAACTGTTACTGATAAGTTACGTGGTGATTTTCAATTATATCAAAAGTTCAAAAGTTGACAATTTTCGTAATAAATATAATTTAACAAATTTATATATCCATACGTATTGGTGCTAAGTTTTTAACTATACAAAATCAAAATAGGTTAAGAAATACGAGACTCGCATTTTTTCTTTTTCATTTTGTCCTGAAAATTTCATATCGAGCACCAAATTTTTAGAATAATATCTTAGTTTATTGCAGTGACAACATGAGCGTGTCAACATCATTGCTTCCGCATTTTCTTTAAGTGTTGATAGATTCAGGCCCGGATCCAGAGGGGGTGGCGATGTGGCGATCGCCACCTCCAAAGCACAACATTTTTTAATGATTTTTAATTTCTCCAAACGACAACAGGCAGTTAGTCGATATTAATGCAAGTCCCCCTTCCTAACCTACACCTTACGTCATCAAAAAAATAACAACAACAACAACAGCAACAATAATAATAATAATAATAATAATAATAATAATAATAATAACAATAATAATGATAAAGAAGTGCTTTGCGCCACCCCCAAAACCAGTCTCTGGATCCGGGCCTGGATAGATTCACCCACTAAACTGACAGACAAGCGAAGCAAATAGCTACAATCTGTTAGAAGAAAATAATGTCTATTTGTATATTAAAAATAATTCACGAAATCGTCTCATTTGTGATAAATCGCTCAATCAGCCCTGTATGAACTATGACAATGGTTGTTTCCTCAAATTCGAGACTGAAGCGGCCTCTAATTCGAGTGTATGTGATGTAATGTGCAATTTCATTTTTATGTTAAAAAACAAACAAAAAATTTAAAATACTTTATGTCTACACTTCGGATATATTTAGCATTCGTTCTATTATCGAAAAATATGCCAAACATTGTGGGATATATGTTAAAATTAGTTTTATAAAGCAAAACATGTCTATTTTTAGTAAACGTAAAAAAATTACATACTCGTAGGTACGTGCAAATAACCAGTTTTCTTTAAATTCCTGTATTTTAATTATGTTATATAATATTATACCAAATTGTTTAATAGGTAATGCAACTAATAAAATAAAATAACGTAGTACCGATTTGAAGTATTAGTTTTAGTGCGAAGGCTTAAATCTTTGCAGGATCGGTGAGCCAACGTGTGTATTTTGCTGATTCTGTGCGATATAACCAGAGGTGTTGATAAACTAGTTCTAATTACTTGGTGAAAACTGCCAACTTTGCGTTTAACTTTTTTGCACATGATATGTTAAAGGTTCACAGAAATTAAATCTACATTTAACCCTTTTACGGAATACAAACGCATATAGGTATGTATTAATGGTATTCAAATCATTATACGGCAGTTTGGCAGCTGCGTTCATTTGTAACTTCATGTAATAATTAAACAATGTAAATAAGGATTTTATGCACGCAATAATGGCACGCAAAAATGAAAGTGGTTATATTTTAATAATGAAGCAACGAACCCATATCGTTTTTGGCAGATGATTGTTAAAAATACGTGGTATCAGCACGATGGTGCACCACCAGAGGGAGGGAGACAAGTAACTGCTTGGTTAAATGATCATTTCCCGAATAAATGGATAGATCAACAAGATCCAATAGCATGACTACCACGTTCGCAGATCTAAATTCTTTGGATTGATATTTATGGGGACATATGAAGCAGCTTGTCTACCATGTTGAAATCACTTTCCGTCAGTAGTTTTGTGAAAGAATTTAGGATGCTGCTAACCAGATAAGAAATGATCCAAATCTCATCCATAGAGTGACGGAATCTTTAGATTGCCGATTCGAGGCTTGCATTCGAGCCGAAGGTGGACATTTTGAACAATATGATTTCTTAATATGGTTAATAAATGTTAACTAATGTTTAAACTTTAAACACATCCATCATTTTTATTTATCAGGCTACTCTGATTGAAATCTGAAATTATATTTTTTAAATGCTTGTAACTTCTAAACAAAAACCATATAAAAAAAATTTTTAAAATTAACTCAGCTACCATCTGTCAAAGTTTGTCATAGAGCTTGTAGAACACCCTGTATAGACCTAAAAACAGTATGAGTCCCACGCTCCATTAGTGAAATATCACCACTTTAATTTTCGTGAGCCGTCAGTCTTTTTACGTTTGTTTAATATAAATTGTTTTCTTATAATTTAAAAAAACTAAAAATTTTAGCTGTTACTCTAAGAAGCAAAATACAAATGTAAAAATATTACACTAATTCAAGCGCCTATTTAGTAATGAGAAAAAAACACTTCCAACTACCGTGAACTGTTCATTCAGTTGACACGACATTTGACCTTCGCTCCAATTGATTCAATTTTCTCTAATTATTCGACATTCCAATGTATGTGTCGTATAACTACGAACTTAATCATTCGATGACAATTTAGATTAAAAAAAACCTACTAGTATATTCAATTTAAAACTAAAAGTGAGAGAAAAATAAGTTTTATAAAATATTTTTGTAAATGTGCATATTTATAAAAACCAAAATTTAAAAAATTATTTATCTTTAATGATTTAACACATTTTTTGTTACTGACTGCTGGGGGTCGCATAGTTTGTTTATCCTTAATCGACCCCATATAAAAAATATACAGTGTCCCCGAATGGGGTATCGCACTCTTATAAACTTTTTTATTGTTGATTTTTCGAGAAAAAATTATTCTTGATAAAAAGTTTGGTTTATGTTGGGACGCTATAGGCAGTAATCAAATATGTAATAAAACATACAGGGCGTCTAAAAAATTTCAAATGTGAAATTTTCCTTAAGCAAAGTGCCTTTACTTTTTGTTTTCGTTAAAAACTGTATTTAACAAAGTTGTTCGAGAACCTCAAGAAATGCTTAAAGATATGGGGTTTAGTTAGAAGAAGAATAATCACATTATGCAAATAAGAACACGCCGCAATTTTTACACACCATATAATTTCCATGGATATTTCCTTATCAATGTCAGAGTCAATATATTTATTTTTATTAACTATCCACCGAATAATTTTGATTAATAATGCTAATCCTGGAACAACGAATGGTGTTGTAAAGAATATTAAAAAGATAAAAAAAGGAATACAATGATAACGATGCTGCTACTGTTGTAGTTATGGACTCTGTATAAGACAATCCAAAGATGTCACTCAGGAAAAGGTTAGAAAACATAGATATCAGCAGATTCCATATTCAAAGAATTTTAGTATTCAATAAAATCTATCAATTCAAACCATAAATTGCTTGATGGACTTTTGTTTACAATGGGCCAGAAACTGATTGAAAACAGATTATTTCATCACAATATTTTATTTACTGACGAATCAACACACATGACGTGGTTTCCTTTCAAATGATATATACTGGACAAAAATAATCCAAACCTTCGATTGATGTTTTGTGTGGTATCATAAAATAATGGTCCTTACTTTTTGGAAGAAAATCTTAATCAAAATTTGTATTTGGAAATTCTTCAATAATTCTGTTTTGGCAGAACTAGATAGCGAAAATTTAGAGTTCAGAAGAAAACTAATATTTCAATGAAACGGATGCCCTACACATTCCAAACTTCTAGCGAGAAATTGGCTTGACGTTAACTTTCAGAAAAAGTGGATGTGACGCTATGGAATTACCTTGTCCTGCACGGACACCCGACTTGTCCCCATTAGATTATTTCTTATGGGGATAAGCTAAAGCAAGAAATGTATTTAAACGATTTTGACGATAACATTGATTTACTTCAGCCAAAAGTTCAGGAAGCTGTTGCCACTATAAACGAAGAAATAATCTCGTCTGTGGACAAGGAAAAAGATTAGGTAAAAATGTATTACTTGGAAGTTTACAAGTTGAATAGGACTTGCTTCATTGTTGTTGTTAATTCCAGGTCTAATTTGTTATTTCTGTTTTTTAATTAGAAAAGCTATATTTATTTGGTTCGCAGGCTACCGAAGCAGTAAATGGTAGAACAATTTCTCTGCCGATTGCCACGTTATTGGTTTAGGTTTCTGGACATTTCGAGACATATCGCTTTTTTCAAAAACTCGAAAACTTTCAGAGTTACTTCTGAGGCAGAGAGCGACTGTCGAAACATCAAGAAACCTAAACCGACGACTTGGCAACCAACCCAGAAATTGTTCTACCAAGCTATTTTTATATTATGTTAAATTTAACATAAAAGTTTACTTATTTTTTACAATTTCTGTCTGCTTCAAGATAAGCAAAACTTTTTATCAATAATAACTTTTTCTCGAAAAATCAACAATAAACATGTTTACAAGGGTGCGGTATATACACTAACAATAAACGAAAAGTAAAGACAAAGCAAACATGCATATAGATCTAACTAGACTAATCGCATGCATGCTATGATCACACAAGATTATCCACTTCCTTTGGACACTAATTACTGGTAGGTACGTACCTCTGAGCAGCCTACGACGGTAATTATCCGGTACCACCCGGAAGTGAGGGGGTGTGGCCCCTTGTCGTATTATCAACAGCATGATTGCTGGGGATCCACCAGCGGAGCGTCTTAGATTTTAGTATACATTCTTGTTAAATAATCGGTATACATCGATTACAACGAAGATTCTTACGTAATCGTCACACACCAGGGCGAAGGGTTAGTACACTGTACACTTTATATATTTACTTTCAGTTTATAGGGATGTTGTTATTAGTTGGTTCCCCAGGGTTGTTAGTGTAGTTATTATAGTTGATTTGTTACAGGTGTCCGTTGATAGGTCTTTACTGTTAGGGGAATAGATTGTTGTTGATCGTAAGCATTGTTATGGCGATGGCGGTAGAAAAATTAGAAATTACTTGATTAATTGTATATCTAATGGTTTATTAATGTTTAAAGATGATATTAAATAGTAAATGAGGGCAGAGTAATTAAAGGTAATTAATTAATATGCACCCAAACATGTAAATTCGGTTTATTCACAGGGAAAACTTTGAAGAGGTAAGAACTCATCGTAGAAACTAGTAACGTTAATCTTTTCAAGTAACTCTGCCCTTACGGGAAAAGCCAATATATCCATCAATACGTTGGGCTATAAACATCCATCTAAATTGTTTTTATTTTCATACGGGATTAAGCGTCATGCCATAAATTAACTGGAGGGTCATGTCTTTGCATCCAAATTTTGTGTGTACATCCGGAGCGCTCCGGAAGACGAAGCGGCTGTAGATTTTACGGTCAATGTTGCCGGCCGATAAGCCGTGTTATATGTACATTATCTCAAATTGATTGACAGTTATTATCTTCGAGTTGTCGATATAGATTATAGATGTTTTTGTTATTTATTTTTAATCTTTGAAACAACACATACGGCGTGTCGCAGATAGCTGAGATGACGCTTATTATTAGACACAAAAAAATATTGCTTGCTTGTTTGTGAAACAAAATCTGGAAATATGTATTTCAATATTGTAAAATCCAGTTAGCTCTGGAAAGATTTTTGCTCGATTGCACAAAGGCCTGCTTTGATAATCTGTTTATTTTATGTTTCTCTTTTATTTTCTTCTTTTCTCTCTCAAACATTATTAATACTTAATATACATACTTAATTCTACATTTTGAGAAACTTTTCTTAATAGAGTTTTTCGTATCGCGCACAGAAAATATTTTTAGGGAAAAAAACTTTAAATCGAACAAAAAATCAAAGTACGCCTAAGAAATTGAAATTTTGCATCAATAGGTACTGAGAAACATATCTTAAGGAGGTTTATCGGGTTTACTCAAATGCGCAGATGTACTTTAAATTTATATAGCGTATTACCCAGTGCTCCCTCTGTGCGTCATATTTTTTTGAATTTTTTTTGAATCTAGATTTTGAGATATTGTTGTTGAAAGTTGTTCATTTTAACATAGCTTTATATGGCGAAGATGGACGGTGCGGCTCTTTTTTTGCCCATAACTGTGAAAAAAATGTAGAAATTGTGAAACAAAACTTTTCCATAGATAGTACACAGTATTATCTTATTNAACATAGCTTTATATGGCGAAGATGGACGGTGCGGCTCTTTTTTTGCCCATAACTGTGAAAAAAATGTAGAAATTGTGAAACAAAACTTTTCCATAGATAGTACACAGTATTATCTTATTTTTGATGTAAAACTAATGTAAGTTTTGAACATAGTATAGCTGTATTAATTAGAAACAGATACCAATAATTGCATTTCTGTCTGACTTGAAGATTAATGTGGCAACGTCGCAATCAGCTGACATCAAGGAGGGAATACATTTGAAAGACTTGATAAAAACGAAATTTATTTCAAACATATACATTTTTCCTAAATCCCATGTACATTGTTATCAACAATAAATTATCCACAACAGATGATTTTTTGTAATGTTTTTAAAATCTAGATTAATTAAAAAAGACTAGGAAGCTGTGATATTGGTAAGAATAAAAAATACAGTTGATAAATCCTTTTAATATATTTAATGGTTTATAAAAACATCGTAATCATTACCCAGCAATATTTGGGTTACATAAAGTTTTCTTTACTTGATTAATATAATTAGTTATACTTGAGATAAAAGCATTTGTACGGAATAAAAAAGGAACATAAATATTTCTCAGCAAACTTTATATTAAAAAAATAGTTATAGTTGCAAAACTTTTGTAACACTACTAAAATAGAGATTAAAAACACGAACAGTGAGTAATATGTAATTTCTATCACAGAACCTTCAAAATTGCATCCAACATTTTTTTCGACTTGGACGAGAGACGGGTGCGAGTGTCATTTCATTTCTTTAGAACTAAATTAGCATAATTCTCGTTGTTTTACCAGTTCACTTGATTTACGGATTTTAAATAAAGGATACAAATCTTCGCGAGGATAATACGATATATTTGCTATATATAATAATTATATTGTACAATACATTTTTGAACGCGTACGCATCTTTACCCGAATTTGACCCGTAATATCTCCGATGTCCGAGGTCTGTAGGTTCGCAGTGTGTACAACTGCTAGTCAATTATTAGCGCTGTTGCCACATCTACATAGTCTTTATGCGTTCATTAAATATAATTTAAAACTACTTAAATATGATATTTTTATGTTTTTAATTAGTCAATATGTATGCTATGTGCATATATATGAGTAGATTTCTTTGCTATATAGATAATGTTTATCGCAAATAATTTCAATAGAATTTTTCAAATTGGCAGCGGGTTTTAGTCCCATAAGAAAAGCGTAGGACCCCCCTGCGCTCCTCACTTCCCTCGGACCCCGGTATACCTCCTTAATAACATTTTGCGATATCTCCACGAAAATATAATTTCATCCTAGGCCACATTTCAACATCAACATATGTATTTTGTTTCTTACAACAGTGATTTCACTTATGTGGGACACGCTTTATACAGGGCGTTTATTAAATACTTGTACAAACTTTAGAGGGTGAATCTGACTAATTTTAAGATAAAAAGTTGATATGAACATTGAACATGAGTCCGCAACGGCTTGGTTTTTGAGATACAGAGCGTTCAAAAAAAATTGTTTCAGCAATTATTATTGTAAATGTTATTAACTTATTTGTAGAAGTAGTTTAGTCTTAGTCTTGTAAATGATCTAAGTGTGTCACATCGCAATATAATCAATAAAAGACACATTTTTCACTTGTTTTTCAAAAACTCTTTCAACTTACAAAATTCCAGCGCAGATTTAACTTAAAACCCGTTTTTTTTACAAAACGGCTGCTTTCAGCGACAAATACTAAGAGTACCTTTTATAGGTAAAATTGAATGGAGAATAGGTATGTATAGTCAAAAATGACATACAGTGCAACACAAAAAAGTAATGGTTATTTAAATCCAGTACAATCTGTATCTAGCACCCTCTAACATTAAACAAAAAACTAAAAATTTAAGTTTCTGATCATCAATATTCCCAGTTTCCCGAATTTCATCAAATTGCCGTGTTATTGAACAAAAATATAATAAAAATATCAAACAAATTTTTTTTTGGACGCTTTGTATCTCAAGAACCAAGCCGTTGCAGACCCATGTTCATATGATCTTTTTATCCTAAAACTAGTCAAAGATTCACCCTTCAAAGTTTGTACAAGTACTTAATAAACACCCTGTAATTGTACATTTTTAAAAGACGCAGTTACTATATTTTCCGTGCAATTATTCATTACAAGAAAGTTGGTACCTACTTTTATAGAGGTTCTGCTTTGTTAATTACGTATTTGTAAAGCAAGTTTTACATTTGTGACACCAACAACCAACCTACTTATTTGCGTGATATTTTTATAAAATGATGTGTTATTCTGTACGTATATCAGGCATGTATTCTGTTAAATGGTTTACAAGCATGTAGCACATATTTTACATTAGAATCTACGCAAATTTTTCACAGACATGTTTAATTTTTAACATTTTAACTCTAGATTTTAGAAAACAAGTAGTGGGATGGGTTAAAAATTTCAACTTGTTCTTTATACACAAGCTGATAAGATATGAAGTTGTTAGAACAATTATTCAAACAATGATTTCTCCACATTAAAACTGATCCTTTTGAAATGTTCTACAATTATATATATGCAGAGGTGCGGCTTGGAATAACAATGGCATGGAAAACCCATACACGATCACTGTTGGCAATAAAGATTAGTTTTTGTTGATATTGATATCTATGACTATGTTTTTTTTATAATTTTAAACTAAAGTTATGAAGGTAAGTAGACTGAGTAAGGTACTGCAGCAACGATTCTGCACTGGGAGACATATCTTTTAGAAAAAAAAAAAAAATAACTTCTACTTTCTCTTCATATTTAAAATGTAAAAACAGGAATTGGATGTCTCACCATTCCTCGCTTTTTACTTTCAACTTTTCAAATATAAAACAAATCTCTAAGTAAAAGTTCGAACACCTTCTTATTCATATACATATTAATATTCTAATATTTTACACAACATTTTTATCCCTTACACAATGTACATACAACATATGGTCAAAGTCTTGTTGGTTATTATTATTATATTACTGACATATATAGGGTGTTTCAGGATTAAGTCGACAAACTTTAAGGAGTATTCCTCATAAAAAAATAAGAAAAAATATCAAGTATAATTTTTTTCCAGAGACGCTTCATTTTCGAAATATAGGGCGTTAAAAATTTCAAAAAAAATCGAATTTTTTAAATAACTTCTAAATGAAGAAGGCTATTTAAGCCCAATTTGGCATGACACATCTTCTTATAAGATACCATTTTTCCATAGAATTAGAAGTCCCGCAAGCAACCAGTGGTGGAGTTATGGGGACTCAGACTCTAAATTGTAAAAAAAAATTAATACGGCCCTACTGAAAATAAAAAATGATGCTGTGTTTAGAGAAAGAACAGTTTGTTATTGACAAAAAGTGTACATTCACTTTTTTCTCAGTTTTATAGTTTTATGGCAACATTGATTTCGGAAGAGTACTTCTGGATTCTGTCGATAAACTTTAAAATGAACCTCAACAAAAATTTTCGAATAGGCTGCTGTCAAGCAATGTTAATTTGACGGTTTAAATGTTATTTTGCGAATTGTTGCATAAATTATCCATTAGATAAAGCGTTCAAACTAATAATAAAAATAAGTTTAATAATGCCGTCCATGTTTTCGAACAATGCATCTGCTGATATGGTTTTTGTATATGGTTTTTGGGATGGAAATGCTACGGCGGCTCGCCGTGAATATGCAGTAAGATTTTCTCATCGCAGACTACCAGCAAAGGAAACATTT